CACCAATTCGCTCATATCTAGTCACAAGTTACTTAATTACATCAATAAATGCTAAATGAACCAATCCTAATGCATGAAAATAAGTTTTTCTAAAGTTTTTCCCAAAAAGTCAAAAATTGACCCCGGGCCCACATGGTCAAAATCCGAGGTTCGAACCGAAACCCGACTACCCATTCACTCACGAACTCGAATATATAATTTGTTTTGAAATCGGACCTCAAATCGAGGTCCAAATCCCCAAAATTTGAAAAACCTAGGTTCTACCCAAAACACCCAATTTCCCCCATGAAAATCATTGATTTTGAGTTGAAATAATGTTAAAAGATGTTAAGGATTAAAGAAAACTAGTTTAAAACGACTTAAATTTAATTTGGAGAAGAAGTTGCCTTTGAAAAATTGCCCTAGAGTGTTTATGTTTTGAGAAGATGAGAAAAAGGGTTAAAAATTCGTCTAAGTACGGATTTCACAGGTCTCTAATGTCGCAATTACGACCAAGGTTCGCAATTGCGAACCCAGACTATATTAAGCTCGCATTTGCAAAGATAAATGTCGCATTTGCGAAGTCGCTTTTGTGATCAATCTGTCGCATTTGCGACACTGGGTAAATTCGGGCCTCTTCGCAAATGCGATGGCCCTTTCACATTTGCGACATCGCATTTGCGATGATAGTTTCGCATTTTTGACCCCAAGGCATACCAAGTCTCTTCGCATTTGCGATAAATTCCTTGCATTTGCGAGGTCGCATTTGCGAGCCAGGCTTCGCAAATGCGACTCCTAAGTCCAAATTTCACTCTGTGGCCTATCCAAAACTCACCCGAGCCCTCGGGGCTCCAAACCAAACATGCAGACCAACCTAAAAACATCATACGGACTCGCTCCTGCATTCAAATCACTAAAATAACATCAACAACTATGAATTTAGCATCAAAATCATGAAATCACTTAAGAACATCAAATTTCCAATTTTTCTCAAATTAGGTCCGATTCACGTCATTTCAAGTCTGTTTCTTACCAAATTTCACAGACTCATCTTAAATCACATATAAGACCTATACCGGGCTTCGGAATCAAGATACGGGCCCGATACCATCAAATTTCACACACATTTCATTTCCAAAAACTCATGTATTTTTCAGAAAACAATTTTCTTCAAAAATTCATTTCTCAGGCTAGGGACCTCGGAATTCGATACCGGGCATACGCCCAAGTGCCATATTTTCTTACGGACCTCCCGGGATCGTCGGAACATGGATCCGGGTCCGTTTACTCAAAATGTTGACCGAAGTCAACTTAAATTTATTTTAAAGGCAAAACTCATTATTTTTCACAGATTTTCACATAATGGCTTTCCCGCTACGCGCCCGGACTACACACGTAAATCGAGGTGATGCATAAAGAGGTTTTTAAGGCCTCAGAATGCAAAATTAGTTTCTAAAACAAGTGATGACTTTTTGGGTCATCACAATCCCCCTGCGTGTTTACTTTGGGACTACGGATTTGTATTCTGGGAGATCCCCCTGCACTTGTATATTGGAACTATGGGACTGCACCTGGTAGATTCCCCCGATATTGGGTATTTACATTTGGGACTAAGGATTGGTATTTCGGGAGATCCCCGCGCATTATGAGTTGGACTACGGGACGGTATCCCGGAAGATCCACTGGAAGTATATTTGGGTCTACAGAACGGTATCCTAGGAGATCCCCGGTTGTTATCTCTATGTTGAGTTGTATTCCTTCTGTGATTATTCTGTCTCTGTTGTTGTTGTTGCTACTCTTATTACCCCGTGTTACTTTAATACTGCTTCTTCTCTTTATATATTATTGTATATGACCGGTAGGGCCCTGACCTTTCTCGTCACTACTCGACCGAGGTTAGGCTTGGCACTTACTGGGTACCGTTATGGTGTACTCATGCCCTTTCCTGCACATGTTTTTCGTGTGCAGATCCAAGTACTTCGACTCGGCCCTACTACCCTTGAGGCGAGGCGATTCTATAGAGACTTCGAGGTATATCTGTCGTGTACGCAGACCAAAGAGTCCCTTTCCATTCTCTTTTACAGTTTTAGCCCTTCTGTACTTATTTTGATTTAGACATTCTGGAGTTAGAACACATGTAGTATCCATAGCTTGTGATTCATGGATTTTCGGGTTTTGGGAAGTTGTTCAGTTTGAAAGTTATAATTGTATATGCCAAGCGGCATCTTAAACCTTCATTATGTCATTTCGCAGTTTTTATTAGTTTTATCTGTTGTTTTTCTCTTTTTTCGCAATTGTTAGGCTTAGCTAGTCGTAGAGACTAGGTGCCGTCACGATAGTTCAAGGAGGAAAAACTGGGGTCGTGACAATTCCTTATTTGTATTATAATAGAGTTAATGGATTACATTCATTCATCGCTAATAATGCATGACATAGATTAATCGATATAGGCCGAAAGGTCGGATTCTTTTAGGGATTGATAGACTTGTGAAAATCCTAATTAGTATATATAATTTATCATCAAATAAATCTATTTGGAAATTAATTCATCGACTTATAACTTACTCAGATGCATCGTTGAATATTAAAAAAAACGTCTGACCTATATCTATATCTATATAGATAAGGGTCGGGTTCTTTTAGGGATTGATAGACTTGTGAAGATCCTAATTAGTATATATAATTTATTATCAAATATATCTGTTTGGAAATTGATTTATCGACTTATAACTTACTCAGGTGCATCGTTGAATATTAAAAATAAAATGTCTGATCTATATCTATATAGATAAGGGTCGGGTTCTTTTAGGGATTGATAGGCTTCTGAAGATCCTAATTAGTATATATAATTTATCATCAAATATATCTGTTTGGAAATTGATTCATCGACTTATAACTTACTTAGATGCATTGTTGAATATTCAAAACAAAATGTCTGGCATATATATATATATATATATATATATATATATATATATATATATATAAGAAATTTACAATTAATAGAAGATTTTCAAGAAACTTTAATANGCAGAATCGAAATGCGGTCCGCAGATGCGATCGCAGAACGTGCCCCCAAAACTCTGAGGGGTCTGTTTGGGTCTGCGACAGGAATGCGGTCCGCATTCCTGTTATGCGGTAGCATTATGCACCGCAGAACTGACCTTCACAAATCCTTGAGGAATTTATGCGACGATTATGCGGTCCGCATATTGGTTATGCGATCGCATAATAGACCGCATTTTCAACACTAATTTTGACAATTTTTCTGCTTCACTCTGCGGCAGAAATGCGGTCCGCATATTAGATCTGCGACCGCATTCTGGCCGCAGAATTGCATTTTCCTGGAAAATTGATTCTTTTAATTTTTAAAAGCTTAGATCAATACCAAGGGTCCGAACCGCGTTCCTAACACATATTCGGAGTCGACACCACAAGATACTAGGTTTTAAGCCAAAAAATATTTTTACGGGGCCTCACATATTCAATGATTTCTGACTTGGGTGCCTGCACCCAAAGGAAAATCGTGAGCTTTGTAAAGGGAAGGTTAGCTCGTGTTCCTGCTGACTTTGCTTGACCGGCTCGGCTCTATTTTTGGTGATATTGTAGGTACCCTTGGGGTAGCGTTGTTAAACAAAGAAATTTTGATAATAAACATGCATGAGTTTGTTAAAGATATGACATATGTATGTATGTATGTATATATATATATATATATATATATATATATATATAAGAAATTTACAATTAATAGAAGATTTTCAAGAAACTTTAATAAACGTAGACGAATACATGTCCGATAATGAAAGTATATACTCTATAGTAAGTATAGATATAGAAGAAAAAACTCAAATAGACACCTCGGAATCAGAAGAAGAAGAATTAATAAATGAGATAGGATTAGAAAAATTAGATTTTGGTAGATAAAATCTGGGTGAGAGACTTAAATATAAATGTAGGATGGAACCCACAATATATACAGACATTATGTAGATAAATCACAGATTAGCTTTATAAACACATGTTTAGATTTCTATAAACCTAGCTACAAGGTAGATAAAATCTGGGTGATATATATATATATATATATATATATATATATATATAACACACGCTTCGTTTAACTAGATANTAGAGTCTGAAGTTTTTGTTTGTAACTGGACTAACTACTAGACTCTAGAGCTGAAGTTTTGATTGTAACTGGCGAATTCAGCTCTAGAGTTGAAGTTTTGTTTTGTAACTGGCGAACTTCAACTCTAGAGCTGAAGTTTTTATTTGTAACTGGCGAACTTCAGCTCTAGAGTTGAAGTTTTTATTTGTAACTGTCGAACTTCAGCTCTAGAGCTGAAGTTTTTATTTTGCCTTAGCTATTAATTAATAATATAGGCTGCAAACAACAGCGAACTCCAGAAACTTAACTACTGAAGGTAGCATATTCCAAACCATTGGCTTCACAGTATGTGCAGTTCAAGATAGTAGACGATTTGCATAAAGAAAGGACGTAAAAATGAACCAGCTTGCAAAAATGTAAATACACGGTCCCACTGTTATCATCTAACAAATCTATTTATGCACAATCCAATCCAAAGCAGATAAAATAGGGAAAATTTCACATAAGAACAATTGGGCTCCCTACTTTTCAATTTTGTAGCCCATATTTATGGCAATCATCCCATGAACTGAAGTTCCATAGCAGCACCAACAGCAGCAGAAGAAAGAAGAAGAAGAAGAAGAAGAAAACGAAGGAGGAGGAGAAAGGGGGTTGAAGTTATTTAAAAAGTGGGTACAAGTTAAATGTTTTTAAAAAATGGGTATAGGTTAAATGGGGGCGACGAAATAGGGCATCCCGTGCAATTTTTACTATCATAATGCTGTTAAAAGGAAGAAATTTTTAATTCAAAAATAAACGTTAAGGACAATTTTGGTTCGATATATGGAATTAGGGCAATTTTAAGCCATTTTTAATAAGCTATGGATATTTTTGACTCTTTTCCCCATTTTTAGTACTATCAATACGTAGATGTTTAACTCTTCTTTTATTTATAGGAGTATACAATAAAGAGGAAAATTAGAGACGATCCCTTTTGAGAAGAAACCTAGTTTTTCCAACAAGTACTACATTACAATATTGAACAAGATTTATTAATCAAATCCTCCCAACGACCAATATTATTCTCATCAAACCACAGAAATCAAAATAGTAAAATACAACGTTTTTATACGTTTTTATACAATTTTATTTTTCTCATTCCCTCTAATTATTTTCTTGCTTTCCCATTTCAAGAAACATCTTTGGCTCACCTTGACTTCCAAGTTTTCTCTTCTGAGCTTCAACATCCTCGAAATCCTCGTCCTCAAATTTGTTTATTAAAGACAGGTACTCAACATTTTCTTGAAAAATCTTGACCAAAACCAAATAAAGAGAGACGGTAAAAACTGTGATCCCAACTAAATACCAACTGAATTGGATATTTACTAATGACTTTGCTCTTTCTAGGGCTTCATTATTATGGCATCTAACCACTTTATGACCATCTTCATAGTTCAAAAAACAACCTTTTGGGATAAAATCTGGAGTCCAAAGCATAATACCTATGACCATCATCCAAATTCCTTGAAACATAATACTATAAGATCTCACAAAACTGTTCAAGAAACTCTTAGGGAAAGGAATGCTCAAAAGGGTAGTGGCTAAACATGCAAAAATGACAATTTGGAGAAGCCAATGGTATTGTCCTTCAAGACCTGTATGGTCAGTAGAGTGAAGATGGAAGAGAAGAAGTTCTTGGCCAAAAGCAACAATTGCAAGAAATTGTGTGAGTCCATATTTGGCTGTGGTTGAAGGGATATTGATTTTGTCAAATATTATTGAAAAGACTGCATAGACAAAGAAAGTAAGGGATATATTTGCATGTTCAAAATTATGGAGATGATAAGAAGGAATGGTTCCATCGGAGTCTAGAGGTTGGTGTTTTGATGGACCAATGAAGAGTTCCATTGATATGGAGGCTAAGGTGCCGCCCATAATGAAGAAAAGCTCGGCGTACCTAATTTCAAAAGTACAATGAGTTAAGTTCGAAAAATTATAACAGACGAACTCATCAAATTTAAATTTTGAAATTGCGCTATGAATAATCAAGAAAAGCTCTAAAATATGTGACCTCAAATGTACAATGAGTTAAGTGCGCTAAAACTTTTAAAAATTGAATTCATCCAATTTTAATCCTAAAATTGCTTTGAATAATCAAGAAATGTTCTAAATACCTAATTCAATTCAAATGTATAATTATATATATATATATATATATATATATATATATATATATATATATATATATATATATATATATATA